TAAACACATGTTATTTTTATAATATGAACATGACATTTTTTAATGTATTTTTTATTGATTTTTATACAGAGAGGAAGGGAGATAGATAGAGAGTTAGAAACATCGATGAGAGAGAGTTATCGATCAGCTGCCTCTTGCACACCCCTTACTGGGGATATGCCCGCAACCAAGGTACATGCCCTTGACCGGAATCGAACCCGGGACCTTACAGTCCCCAAGCCGACACTCTATCCATTGAGCCAAACAGGTTTCGGCTGAAGATGACATTTTTTAACACACTAACAAAACTGCCTGTGATCAAGCACATAAAGAAACATTTTCTGGCCCCTCCCCACATGGCTCAGTGGTTGTGCTTCAACCTATGAAACAGGAGGTCATCATTTGTTTCCAGGTTGGGATATATGCCTAGGTTGTGGTCTTGATTCTCAGCAAGGGGTGTGCAGGAGGCAGCAGATCAATGATTCTCAATGTTTCTCTCTCATCATTGATGTTTCTATCTCTCTCTCCCTCTCCCTTCCTCTCTGAAATCAATGAAAATATGTATTTTTTAAAAAATCATTATCTTTTACCAATTCACCTGACATACAGACCAAGAGGTACACATACAAACACATACACACACACAAAAAAAACCAGAAGCTCCCACATGCACCTACTCTCACATACTAGGTTCATTCTCTCTCACACATCAGCCCCCACATGACCTGCTTACACAAGCACTTATTCTCTTACGCACAGTCACACTCACACACACTTAAATTCAAGGCTAGAGTAGAAACTGGAAAGGACACTGAAGCAACTAAAAGGTGCAGCCAAAATAAACAAAAGGTGCAGCCAAGTGTCCCTAGGGACTTCCAACTCCTACCAGCAGAGGTACAGGAATGAAAAGCAGAGACACCTGAATATCAGCACTCCCCTCAGCAGCTTACTAATGCAAAGTACTGTCCTGAAGGGGACAGACAAAGCCTACAATGTTACTGAAGGGCTTTCATTCTGTGCTCCGATATATAGGGTTCTCTGAAAAGGATCAGTGACTATCAAAACGTAAATGTTTAACTTAGGGCATTAATACAATGTGAAGATCATCCCTACAAGTAATTCCTTTGAAAAATAAAGCCAACCCTTTCCACAATACTCTTAGAATTTATTCTATAATTTCTGCTTTACAATGAGTTAGTGATGACTATAAAAGTATCAGAACTCTCAGTATGAATTGTATTGATGAGAAGTGGCCAAGCTTGTTTAAAAAAAAAAAAAACTATTCCAGCCGAAACCGGTTTGGCTCAATGGATAGAGCGCCGGCCTGCGGACTGAAGGGTCCCAGGTTCGATTCCAGTCAAGGACATATGCCTGTGTTGTGGGCTTTATCTCCAGTATGGGGCATGCAGGAAGCAGCTGATCAATGATTCTCTCTCATCCTTGATGTTTCTATCTCTCTTTCCCTCTCTCTTCCTTTCTGAAACCAATAAAAACATATTTTTTTAAAAACCTATTCCAAGTTCACAACTAGTGCCTGGGTGCATCTGAGTCCTGTTTCACCTAGAAAGCTCCACTGTAGACCTTTCTCCTTTTCTCTGCTGACTCCTGCCAACACTGTTATATTACACCACACCTGATCTATCACCAGATGATGTAATGAGATCCAAACACACCATGACATTGCTGAAGAGGGACACAAAGACCATCTGTATTATAAATGGGAGCTGCTTATATTAAAACTTCAGCTATAGCTCTTAAATAATTTAAAATGTTTTCTTCATAAACAGATTACTTAAAAGATACTGAACATAATATCTTTGAAAATTTTGAAATAACCAAGATAATCTATTTGTTATCATAGAGGACAGTAATGTGACCATTCTAAGAGTTTCTTGCACTCAATATTTTCAAATCTCAAGGTGGAAAGTACAAAATTTATGGTTTTATTGCTGTTATCCAATTTATCTAAACAGTTTCTAGGGTTTTCAAAAAAAAAATCATGAATGTTTTCAAATGAATTCTTATCTTTTAGAAATATATACTGAAATATTTATGGATGAAATAATATGTCACATATGTGCATCAAAATAATAATCCAGGGATGACCAGCCAGTTTAGCACTGGCCTATGAACCAGGAGGTCACAGTTCAATTCCTGGCCAGGGCATATGCCCAGGTTGCAGGCTCGATCCTCAGTGGGGAGGGGCATGTAGGAGGCAGCCGATCAATAATTCTCTCATCACTGATGTTTCTATCTCTCTCTCCCTCTCCCCCCATCTCTGAAATCAATAAAAACATATTTTAAAATTTTTTTAATAATAATTCAGGGATAGGGAGTTTACAGATAAACCAAGACTGCTGAAACTGAGCAATGTCTAGGGAGCAGAGAGATGGGGGTAGGGAGGAGGTCACTAAAGTACTTATGAGTATGTTCAAGACTTTTCATTTAAAAGTTTAAAATATTCATCATGAGGTAGAATTCTTCACTTTTCTCTAAACTACTTCACTATCAGAAAATATTTCTTCTCTTTGCTCTTCTATAATGTATTCTGATAAGGGACTTGGGAAAAACAAGTCTAAAATCATAGTAAAGGACAGCAAAACTTACACACACACACACACACACACACACACACACACACACACACACGTCAACCTTTCATTGCACTGTGAATTCATCTGCTCCTCCACCATTCCAGGGAGCTCACTCAAGTCCAGGTATTTAGATCAAGCCTAACACTGCTTCTTCCTGAGCAATCTGGGAGAGCAGGCAGAAGGGGCAAAGCCACAGGCCTCCTTACACTTGTCCAGCCCCACAAAACCCAAGCCCTGCCACCAAATTTAAAATTCCACCAGGACCTATCAGAGCAAAGAATTTTGACTCATTTCTCCTTTGTGATTACAAATATCAACCCAAAGTTTTTCCCACTGGGATCAATAAGGACAGTCACCACACAACAAAAGGTGTATCTCAAATGAAAAGGATTTTATGAAGTCAGTAAGATGAAACTTCATGGGAATATTTTGAGATACCAAATCGAAGAAGTTGAGAGCTATCTAAAAATTACAGGTCAAAAGACCTCGTTCTAGTCCTTGCTCTAGCACTGCCATTTTGTTTGTGGGATGTTGAGAGTTACTTAAACTTTCTGGGCTTCTGTTTCTTACCTGCAAAATGAAATGAAGCCTAATACTACTTCAGAGAAAGGTGGTGATGATCTAGCGAAAACACAAATGAGCCTGATATAAGCTGTAAAGTACTTTATCAAAGTCAGGTTATGGTGAAAAGAAAAAAAAAAAAAAAGAAAGAACGAATGTGGTATTTTTTTTTTTTTGTGGTATTTTTTTAAACATCTTTGGTTTAATGAGAAAGGGTGTGCTTGGAGAGAAGACACATCACACTAGCAAAACACAACCAAGGATGATGCCCAAGGTGCTTTCTGACCCCGGGGCAAGAAGGAAAAGTATCAAAAGAGCTTGGACCAGCAATCACAATCCCTGCCAACTACGGTATATAGGAAGTTATACCATATATCTCTCTGCCCATTAGACTAGCACATAGGAGACCCATCTGAGCAACATCTTCCAACTGAGAGCTAAACAAAAGCAGTAAGTACACTGATGCCCACAGAAGCATGTACATCTTCCTGGGCTCAAGGGACAAATGGGGGGCTAGGGAGAGGAGGAGCATGGACCCCCTTATCAAGGCTCCTTTTTTTAAATTTCTTTCTTTTTAAAATTTTATTTTTTGATTGATTTTTAAAGTAAGAGATGGAGGGAGGAAGAGAGGGAGGGAGGGAGGGAAACATCGACCTGCAATTCCACTTATTCATGGATTCATTGGTTGCGCCCTGACCAAATCAAACCTCACAACCTTGGCGCATGGGGACCATGCTCCAACAACTGAGCTACCCAGCCAGGGCCATAAAAGTTCTTAATGTTATGCCTGATACCCTAAACATTAGAATGTCAATTTCACCTCTTTTTCTTAAAGATCTCTTGGCTTAAACATGCATATACACTTGAACGCCCACTTAACAAATGTCTGCATGTGTTGAGAAGGCAATAAAATGCAAAAACTAGATCAGCATTTTAGGGATTTCTTACTACTAAGTGAAATATGCAAAAGTGCACACCAGCAACCTATTTGCTGTCTACCGAGCTATTATTACCAGAACACACACAGCCGCGCTGCTGTCACCTGGAACTTTCAGGAGTGCTGAGACGGAGGGGAAGGACTGCTCTCCCAGAGCGGCTGCAGCCCTGGGAGGCTGCGTGGTGCCTGTGCCACCCTGCACCGTGCATGCCCACTGCTGCCTGTCTGTGCACCTCACATCTCCTTCAAAGTGGAGGCTGCTCAAGTCTGCATTCACCAGCCCGGGAGGGATGGTTCAGTTGGTCAGAGCATCCTCCCAATAATACACCAAAGTTATGAGTTCCATCCCAGGTGTAGGCACAGACAAGCATCAACGAATGAATGCATAAATAAGTGGGAAAACATTAAGTTGATGTTCTCTCTCTCTCCCTTCTTCTCTAAAACCAATACATAAAAAAAAAAGTGTGCACTGTCTCCCAAACAATAAAAGATGAGTCTTTGTAGAACATAATGCCAAAACGGTGTCTATTCGCGTGATCTTAAGTAGCCAGGCACAGCCTGGCCTTTGAGATCTGAAGGAATGAATTACTTCAGCCAAGCCAGACCTGGGTCCTCAGGGGGAGGAACCGCCAGGCACTTCTTCATTCAGGGGGCACGTCCATCAGGCAGCTGGGCCAGGCCCTACCTCCCCTGGGTTTAGGAAAGATCCAGCTCCCGTGGCACAGTAGGTGGGGGGTGGGGGGGTAAGGTAGAAGGGGGGCGCAGTGAAAGAATCCGACTCCCTAGAATAGAACCTCTTTAAAGGAGGAAAAGAAGCTTTAATAAAATTCAACCAAAAAAAGAACGTGCATTTCCCGACCACAGAGGACCACGTCGGCCCGGAGCCGGCGCCCGGGGCCAGGCTCCCACGCTGCGGGCCCAGAGTTTACCTGCTCAGCCCCGTAGACGGTGGCGAACTGGACGAAGTCCTCCACGCGGACGAAGCCGTCCCCATCCCCGTCCAGGGCATCGAACACGGTTCGGAGGCGGGGGCCGTCCTCCGCACACCCCGCAGGCTCGCTCGCTGGTGAGCGGCTCTGGCTTCCGTCCGAGGGCAGGTGCGTGTCCACGGGACCCACCTCCAGCGCCAACTCGCCCGCCGTGGGCGAGGGCGAAGGAGGGAAGAAGTCGACCTCGCCCCTCCCGCGGCGGCTGTCGCTGAAATCCTGCGCGCGGGGAGACGCGCTCTCCGGACAACTTTGGGAGCCATAATCCTCTGACTCTTCAGTCCAGAAAAAAAGCGGGCCGAGTCCGGTCAGCTGCCGATCGGGGTCGGGGTCGGGGTCGGGATCGGGATCGGGATCGGGATCGGGATCGGGATCGGGATCGGGGTCGGGGTCGGGGTCGTCGGGGCCGGCGGCCTGACTCGGCAGCAGGTAGGAGGCCCCCGAAACCCCATCGGCGCTCAAGCCGGCAGGGTCCCGCGGGCCCGGCCCAGGGCGCGGGGCGGGGTCGGCGGGCGTAGGGGCGGCCCACGGCCAGTCGGGTCCGCCAGGCTCCGGGTCGGGGCCCGGGCCGCCCGTTGGGGAGGCCGACCGGCCCGGCTCCATCTTCATGGACGCGACCCGGGCCGCGGCGCGGGCCCTCGAGACCAGGAGTGAGGCGGGCGGCGCGGGCGGCAGACAAAGGCGCTCAGGGCGCGGCGGCGGGCGCGGGCATCCCCGCGGCGGCGGCGCGGGCGTGCGCGCGCGGGGCTCCCGGGCTGCTCCGGCTGGCGCTCGGGCCCTGCTACGCCCTCGCCCATCTTGGCGCCGCGCTTCAGCTGCCCTCGGCCCCGCGGCGCGGCGGATGACGGCCCATGGCGGCGGGCGCGGGGAGGGCGCGGAGAAGGGCCGGGGCGGTGTGAGGCCGAGGGGCCGAGGAGGCCGGCGGAGAGGACGCTGAGGAGGAGTACGCCGAGGAGGGTGAGGAGGAAGGATGAGACGCCCGAGGTACCCAAGCGAACGCCACCGCCCTGGCCCCGCCCCCTGCCGGCCTTACGTCAGCACGCCCCGGCGCCGCGGCCCCGCCCCCCGCCGGCTCGCTATAAAAGGCTGGCGGCGGGGCAGCCGGATAGCGGAGCCGCGTGCGCCAGTTACCGCCTGGTGGGTGGGCTCCGATGCTCCTGTTCTTTGCCGGGCCCCGGCCTGGCCTGGATCCCGGCCCTCGGGCTCAGGAAGAGGCCGTTTTCGGAGGCTGCAAACGCGTACATGATGTCACCGCCTGGGAGTGCAGGGACGGCCGACCCACGCACGGTGCGGATGAATAAACTGCGCCGAGAAGAAAGCGGGGAGAAAAAAAACTAAGTGCACCTGTCGCACTGGGGTTGAGTCCTCCTGGGGCGTAAAGCGCTCTCACAAATGGTTAAGCGAAGAACACGACCCTAATGGGAGGCGGGAAAGCGCGTAGCTCTGATCGCAGCCCCCGTGTGGGACCGCCCACCGGCGCACCTGCGCTCACGGTGCTGTGTCCGCCCGCCCGCAGCCCCTCCGCAGACACCGGGAGCGCAGAGAGGGCGCAGGCGTTCACAGAGGTGGGCACGGAGATTGGCAGAGGCAGGAGCTGGTCCGCGCGGGCCCTTCCCAAATTGGAGAGCCCGGGAAATGCTGTGCATTTTCCCTTCTAATGGAAGGTACTAGTGGTTAAACACGGATCTTTTTTAAGCCCAGGACAAGTGTTTTTCACAGGATGTAGTGCTGGTCGCCAGTCTGCAGTCTGGCCTTCCCAGCACGGTGGCTGTCTTTGACAACCAGCATCTGTTTCTCTAGCTGTCACTTTCGTCATTGAGGACACGGGAGGACAGACAAGAACACGAGTACCCTGCAGCAGGCATGAAAGTAGAGACATGCTAGTTAGAAGCAGGTGACCTGCCGAAGCCCTAGGCGAGGTGCTAAATTTAGCCTGTAATGAAATGTGTCAAGGGAGTGTATGAGCTGGTATTTTTAAACTCTGTGGGCACCCAAACCAGATATGTTTCATAAGCAGCTTTGGCAAGAACCAAAGGAAACTAAACCTTTCTTTCCAAGTGTAAAGTGTTCATTAACTGAGTCATCTTCCATGACAAAATCCCAGGACACGTGGTACCGGATTTTGTGAGGTTGGCCTTGGAAAAAAAAGAAAAGCAAGGAATTCCTCCTCCAATACCACCCCAAACTATATTCTCGATTTCTTTTAAGAGCTGTATGCTCTACTCAGAAGCATACAGGGAGTTCAGAGAAAAAAATATCATCGCCCGTTTAGGAAAGAATTCGAAATAGGACAGGACTGATGCCTTTGGCCAAATACAATTTTCAGAGGTAGTTATACTGATGTGTCAGCCTTTCTAAATAAGGGTGTTAATGTGGGTGAGATAAACAAATATACATCAAAGCTGCACCCTGAGGAAATAGGCATTCCTCCTGCTGCTAATGCCCCAAAATTCAGCATTCCTTAGGCTGGCTCATGTGCCAAAATGGAACCCCAGCATGGTGAGCTTGGTCCAATTCAAGAGACCCTGTGTGTGAAACATCAAAAGTGGCAATTCTGGGTCAGTCATTCAGACTTCAAGTGTCCCCTTTGTGGCCTATGAACATGTTTATTGGTAGCACTCCAGAGGAAATGAACCAATCCTCTTGCCATTTTGACTGACTCCTCCTATGCACGGTTTAATTTAACCAGGTATCAGGTACGCAGAAGAGGGAGGGAGGATGGGGTGCAGCTCACATCTGTTGGCTTTGGGGTCTGAGTGAATGTCTGTAGAAATCTCCCTCTGTGAATGTTTTCTTTTGAAGTTACTCGGGATAAACATTTCTTTGGAACTCTCTAAGCAGTTAGGTCTCCTGATCCCTCTTCACTGGTGACGTTTGGCCTGTGGAGAAGGTGGTCCAGCAGATTCCTGGCTGTGTGGCACAGCCCTGTTGGACCTGCCAGGGAGTGGAGGGAAAGTGGGTCAGGAAACCTTAGGTGAAGAAGGGCCTCTCCATTTTCTGGGTGAGATCTGGCCACTGACAAAAGAAGGGGGAGGGATATAGGAAAAGCTCAGTTTGATTGTAAATCCATTGTTTTTAATGTACATATTCTTAAATCACGAGGAACTACACCAAAATTATATGATTTCTAGCCTGATAAAGTCATCTCATCTTTTTTAAATATATATATATATATATATATATATATATATATATATATATATATATTTTGCCGAAACCGGTTTGGCTCAGTGGATAGAGCATCGGCCTGCGGACTGAAAGGTCCGAGGTTCAATTCCAGTCAAGGGCATGTACCTTGGTTGCGGGCACATCCCCAGTAGGGGGTGTGCAAGAGGCAGCTGATCGATGATTCTCTCTCATTGATGTTCCTAACTCTCTATCCCTTTCTCTTTCTCTCTGTAAAAAATCAATAAAATAATATATATTTTTAAAAATACATATTTTTTTATTAATTTTTATTGATTTCAGAGAGGAACGGACAGCGAAAGAAACATCAATGATGAGCGAGAGTCATTGACTAGCTGCCTCCTGCATGCCCTCTACTGGGGATCAAGCCCCAAATCCTGGCATGTGCCCTTGATTGGAATCGAACCCTGAACCCTTCTGTTCATGCTCTATCCACTGAACTGAACAAGCTAGGGCTCATCTTCTCTTATTCAAACTTGACTGAATGCTAATGTTTCTTACTGTATTTGGCCAACTTGAATCATATATCTGTTAATTGCCCAGTAGTAGCACTTGCTTATTTTTCTATTTGATTCTCTGACTTTTTCTTCAGATAAAATCCCTCATCAGGGTGTGATCCTGGCAGCAGCTGCAGCGACTCTCATCCTTCCAGGTTCTACTTGCTATCTCCTTCAGCTTCCAGAAATATGGCCTCTGGTGTGGTTGTCTCTTATGGAGTCATCAAAGTGTTCAATGACATGAAGGTAAAGAAGCACAAGAAGGCGGTGCTCTTCTGCCTGAGTGAAGACAAGAACATCATCCTGGAAGAGGGCAAGGAGATCCTGGTAGGTGATGTGGGCCAGACAGTAGACGGCCCCTATGTCACCTTCGTCAAGATGCTGCCGGACAAAGACTGCCGCTACGCTCTGTATGATGCGACCTATGAGACCAACGAGAGCAAGGAGGACCTGGTGTTTATCTTCTGGGCCCCTGAGTCTGCACCTCTTAAGAGCAAAATGATCTACGCCTGCTCCAAGGATGCCATCAAGAAGCTTACGGGGATCAAGCATGAATTACAAGCAAACTGCTATGAGGAGGTGAAGGACTCTGGCAGAGAAGCTGGGGAGTGCGGGGGCCTGACACGGCCGGGGATCTCCCTTCTCCGTGGCCAGTATGGAAAGAGAGATGAAATTGGTTCTTCGTAGAGGCAGCCAGGGATTGAGAAATAAAGAAATGAAGAGAGTCCATGCAGAAATAGGTTTAAGCTGGGCCCCAGGACTGACAACCCCTGAGCCACCAGCACACTATTTATTCTCTAATACACAAAGCGGGGGTTTTCACAGGAAAAACAAGGAGCCTGGGAGGGGCCAGGTCCCATCCACTCCTTCCTGCCTGACAAACACAAGCCAGGAACTAAGAACATCTCTGCACTTCCAGGGCAGGAAGGTAACTGACAGGATTCTGTCAATATCCCAGGCTCAGTCAACAACAATCGAAAGAATTTCCAGGTATTTTTCAGGTGGCCCCCTACATCTCCCCCATTTTTAATTTTTAAGAGCAAAAAATTTCTTTTTTGAGTCCCAATTTCAATGTCCAACAGTTTTTTTGAGTACATGTCAGCAATGGTATCTGGATGGACAAACGGTGACGATGCAGGTCTGACCTCTGGTTTGGTCCTGGGCAACCTGCAGTGACGCACAGCTGCTGACTGCTAGTATGACAAGGTGTCATCAGCGTCTTCCATCTCTGGATTGTTTTCCTCTTGTCTTTATGGCTGGAGCATTCCTGTCAATTCTTCTCCTGCAGGAATCCACATGGTCTTGGAGTTGTTTCCTAAAAATAAATATATTCTCGACCAAAAGTTAGTAAAACAATCCTTTCTATAAATTTGACTTGGATCTTTTTCATTTTTTGCCCAAATGACTTTCCTTTGGCTTATTTTGACACCATGTATGTTTCTTCATAAGTATCTTGTTCTTAGTATTATAGATGAAAATTAGTTTTTAAAGTAAAAATATTTCTGGATATTTTTCCTTACATAATATTTTCCCACTATCCCCCTTTTCTGGAAAATTTCTATAATGCAGTCTTGATTATTTTAAGTTTTTAATTTGTGCACAAAATATGACTGCTTTTAGATTCATTACATGTTAAGCAATTTTACCATGAAATGAACTACTAATAGAAATTTTTAGTTAACACTTTAGAAACAGCTTTTTTGTACAATGAAATTTTCTTAAATATTTATTTCAATTAGCCAATTTAAATTAATCTGAAAACTTGACTATTTTACTGTCAAATTTAAATCTTAAATGTTAATGTAATGGATAGTTTGCATCCTTGAGAAAGCCCTGAGCATTCCTGAATTTAGGCTGGATTTAGATATAGGGCAGCTGCCATGAGCCAATTCTCTGTTGTCTGGGTCCCATTCTAAGCTGGGCCAAGTCTCTATTGTCTGGGTCCCGATTTGAGCTGGACAAGTCTCCGTTTGTTGCCTGGGTCCCAATCTGAGATGGGCATGGGAAGCATGAAGCAGCAGGAGACTTCCCTCAGAAGGGGCGAAGGTTCAAGCCCCTGCAATGTTGGGGGGGTGAGGATCTGTGCCCCAGCTCTGTTGACCCCCAAGCTCTCTCCTGATGGCCCTCTGCGACTGTGCCTGTCTTAGGTCGTCCCTCCCTTGAGGAATCTTACCCATCATTGGCTAACCAGCCATCCTCCGGGGCCAAGCAGGGTGATGTGAGATTCAGTTCTGTCTCCTTGGTAGCTTATGCCCCCGTGGCCTCCATGCCCAGCACCTGCCGGGGGATCCCCTCGCCTGCTGGCAGGGTCCTAGCATTGATCACATATCTTGGGGAACCCAGGTTTCTTTTCCAGGGAGGGCCCAGCTCACGCCACTGGGCAAGAGACACCAGCCACCATGAGGCTTCAACCTCAGCATGAACTGAAAATCCAGGCAACAGCTGTGGGAGGGTTCCTCTTGGCAGAAAAGGCCAAAATAGAATGCTCAAGTGCCTTCCCATAGGGCCTTCCACATAGTGGAAGGGATTAAATCCTTTTTTGTCCTTTTAAATTACTGCCAAACATTCAAAAATTAGATTTCTAAGTTTATTTGGAATAATTGTACAATATGCTATTGTAAAATATTGAAGTTATAATGACCTTGTAGAATAATATCATGTAAGGATATTCTTTGCTCTAGGTCATGGACATCAATTTAAAGAATATCCATGTGCATTTCCAGGGACCTTCAATGTTAGCAATGTTTGTGCCACCATAGGACGTCTTATTTTCTTGACCAAGCTGTAAACATCCTGAAGTTCCCTTTATTTTTTTTTATTTAAAAAAAAAAAAAATATATATATATATTTTATTGATTTTTTACAGAGAGGGAGAGAGAGAGCTATTAATAGAAATGTCAATGAGAGAGAAACATCGACCAGCTGCCTCTTGCACACCCCCTACTGGGGATATGACCGCAACCAAGGTACATGCCCTTGACCGGAATCGAACCCGGGACCTTTCAGTCCACAGACTGACGCTCTATCCACTGAGCCAAACCGGTTTCGGCAAAAGTTACATGTTTGTCAGAGCTCTTCCCAACCATATTGTGTTGTTAATAAATACTAGCATTGACTTTCCAGTCCAGGTGGCTGGATTGACCATAGGAGGGTCTGGAACATAAGTCCAGTAAGTTTCTGCTGCAGCCATACTTACCTGGCAGCTGATGAGTGCCTTCATAGCAAGAAAGGGGCTGGAGGGGGTTACCTGAACCCCCTGTTCTTTCACCACTTGGCTAGGCATCAGTGGTCGGCTTCTTCAGTTGACCCCATGTGGGGACATTAGCTTCTCTGGTGGTCTTAGCCTGCTGCCTTACTCTCTTCTCCTTCTTTGGGGCTGGTGGCTGAGCTGGCATCAGCACCGGAGGTGTGATATTCAGCTTCTTGAATGATGGGATGAGTTGTTCTTCCAGGTCCATGGTGGTGACGCACTGCTCGCTCTGGCACCCAGACGGGGTGAGAAGCACCTTCTGGGAAGATACAAACGTGGCCTCTCCCTCACTTCATTACTGGATCTGGCCCTTTCCACTGTCCTGTTTGTAAATCCCTCCATCCGTACCGGCACCAGGAGTTTGATGCCTCTCGGCTGCTGTGTGACCTTTATCATCACAATTTTAAAAAGTTAAAGTGTAAAGGGCATGATTTAACTGATTCTGTGGGGTAGGATTATACCTCTCTCCCCCTTTTTGTTTTTGTAATTGAGTTTTTAAGGTTCAATTGGCTCTTTCTACAATTGCCTGTCCCTGGGGATTATAGGGAATTCCTGTTTTATGCATAATTTGGTATTGCTTACAAAATTGCTGAAATGAGGAGCTAGAATATGCAGGTCCATTATCTGTTTTTATTTCTAGGGGCCATCCCATAACTGGAAAAGCCGCTAGGCAGTGGTCAATTACATGCTTTGCACTTTCCCTGTTCGGGGAGTAGCAAAAATGAATCGTGAGCATGTGTCTACAGAGACATGGACCCACCAAAATCTGCCAAATTCAGGCACATGTGTAACATCCATTTGCCAGATTTGATTAGGTTTATGTCCTCATGGATTCACCCCTAATGCTGGCACAGGGAGATGGATAACACACTGAGGGCATTGCTTGACAATTTGGCAAGCCTGCTCTCAAGAAACATGGAATTCCTTGCGCAAGGCAGAGGCATTTTGATGATGCAGGGCATGCGAGCCTGTGCCATGGAAAAGGGGGTGGTCTCCTCTACTGAGGCAACAAGATGATCTATTTCCTCATTACCAGCAGCCAGCGGACCTGGAAGGCCAGAATTGGATCTAATGTGGCCAGTAAAACATGGGCATTGCCGTTTTTGAATAACTCTTTGCAAGGTGATAAACAAATGGAATAGTTCCTCAGAGTTTGTATGCCCAATGGTTTTCTTAATTGCAAAAATAGGTGTATTCCAAGGACTATACGTAGGTTCAATATGACCAGCTTCAAGCTGTTCTTGTACTAGAAGCTGTGCTGCTTGAAGCTTCTCTCCAGTTAAGGGCCATTGATCAACCCAAACAGGGTCGTCAGAGAGCCATGTGATTTTTGCAGCAGTCTTTCTCTGGGTCGGAGAGACGACCAAGGCCCCTAACGAAAAAGCTGTGGCTCCCTGTATCCTAGCCCTCTTCTCCCTTGCGGGGTAGAAGTGGGGATAGGGGATAGTCTGCCTTGCTGCCTTTTGCCCATTCCTTTAACGGGACAAAATTCTTGATTTAACATTTGAGCTGTAACCACAGCATTGGAACTCATTAGTAATACTCCCATTTGCTCTAGAATGTCCCTTCCCCAGAGGTTAATAGGTAAATGATCAAGCACATAAGGTGTAAAATACCCTGTATTTCCCTCTGAATCTTCCCACTTGATGAGCTGCGCACTCTGTTGAGGCTGAGAGACTTGGCCGATGCCTTGTAAATTGGCAGTGGCAGTATTAAGAGGCCATGCAGGGGGCCAGTGCCTGGAGGCAATCACAGAAACATCTGCCCCCATATCTACTGTTCCTTGGAAAACTTTCCCATTTAATTTTAATTCTAGCTCTGGGCGCCCTCTTTTAACTAGCTGTGCCCAGTATATTTGATTAGAAGATCCAAATCCTCCTTCTCCCCGAAGCTCTGTGGAGAGAAGTTTCCCTGCTGAATAATATGGCAAAATTATAATCTGGGCTATCCTAGTTTCTGGGAAAATTTGAATTATGGTATTTGCTGTTTGTGCTATAACTTTGATTTCACCAGTATAGTCTTGATCTATTACACCTGGTAAAACCTGAAAACCTTTGCTAGTTAAACTACTTCCCCCTAAAATAAGTCCCATAGTGCCCTTAGGTAATGGTCCATAAATCCCTGTAGGGAATGCTTGTGGCCCCATCTCTGGAGTTAGTACATATTTGGCGGTGGGATAGAGGTCCAATCCTGCACTTCCTGGAGTGGCATGGTTGAGTTCTTCGACAGTGGGCCAACTGGCAGGCCGGTGACTGGCAGGCCGGTGTGGTACGGCTGTGCCGGGTTGAGTGACAGTGCCCCTACTATTTGGTGGGGCCGGAGCCGGCCCCACTTGCTGTTTTCCTGATGTGGGTCAATAGGCCGGCCATCGATGTCTGTCTGGGAGCGGCAGCCACTGGCCCAGTGTTTCCCCTTGCGGCAGCGAGGGCAAAGACTT